AGCCCGAGCTTGAGCATGAGCCAGAGAGCAAGCCAGCAAGCAGTGTCCTTCACGGCTCCGGGCAAGTTCCTACCCTCAGTTCCTTCAGCTGCAGGTTACAATCTGGAAGTGTGAGCCAAATAAATCCTCTCCTCCCTGTACTGCTTTGGTCTGTGTTTATCACAGCAACAGAAAGGAACGAAAACAGACCCATCCCTTCTACACCCACCCTAGAGCGGTTCAGTCTGCCAGCTTCCACACCAAATTCCTGGTAGAGGCCAATGTACTGTGAACCATATCTTCCATCTACTTATGGCCCAGGGGCCACAGAGCTGCTCCGGTAAGGAGCTGAGCAGAGTCATCCTCTTCTCCTTCTCAGATCTCCTGCATCCCATGCCAATCCCGGGCCACACCCTGGCTCTGATCCTCCCCTCAGCCTCCCATGTCCAGTGGTCACATCCTTTTGGCCCCAGCTCCTCAGACACCTGGAATGCCCTCCTCCTGTATCACCAGGCATGCTATGCCGGGGCCGATTAACTGCTGCCACCGACATGACTAATCCTGAGCACACTGTCTGTCACCCTGGGGCAGCGTCAACACTGACTGTGTGACCTCACTGTCCGGCTGTCCCCAGTGAGTCTGCTGATCCCTGGCACAGGCTCCTCTACAGCCCCCTTCATGATCCTATGGTGTCACCTTGTAATCAGCCACATGACAGCAAGTCCTTCTCAGAAACACCTGCTTCCCTCCTCTTCTGTCCTGACAGAACCTTCCCTGAGCCTGGCTAGTGGTCTCCCTGCCCCTCCTCCCGGCTCACCAGGCTCTCCCCACACCACCTTCCTTCCCAACCTAAACTCTCCTTTTGTGCCTGGCTAGTGGCTCTCCCTGCCTCCTCCTGCAGACCAGAACCCGCTCTGTGCCTGGCTAGTGGCTCTCCCTGCCTCCTCCTGCAGACCAGAACCCGCTCTGTGCCTGGCCAGGCTTTCCCAGTCTCTCTTTCCACCACTGCTGAGGACCAGCTCTGAGAAGCCAGCACTCTGCCCAGGACCATACAGTGGTTCCCACTACTCCGACGCCTGTTCGGCAGTCACAGATCAGCCCCTCCTCTCTATCACCTCGTCTCCATGCCAGTCTGCAGCACCGCTGTTCCACCTCAGGACAAGCATCTCCAGGGGCAGTGCTTCCCCCTCCACTCCCCAGGCAGTGCTTCCCCCTCCACTCCCCAGGCATGCTTCCCCCTCCACTCCCCAGGCAGGCTTCCCCCCCCCACTCCCCAGGCAGGCTTCCCCCCTCCACTCCCTCCCCAGGCACGCTTCCCCCCTAGGGCAGACCCTGCTTGCTGGGTAAGCATCTGCAGGCTCTTCCCCAGCCTCTCACTCCTCCTCCTGAGAAGGACTCTCACATACACGGTCTTCCTGGACACGAAGCCTTCCCTCCCGTTCCCGCCCATCTTGTTCCCTCCGCCCACAAGGAAAGCAGATTCTCTAAGAAAAAGAGCTGTTTTTGTTTTTTTAGCATCAGCATCATTTCTTCCCCACACACTCATTCTTCACCCACGATAACCTGGCTGCCACGTCTCCGCTAACTGACTCCCTGCTGCCGGGAGCACCAAGGGAGCACCAAGGGAGCACCAAGGATTAAGGAGCGGCAGGACTGGCTCCACCCGAGCAGCAGAGCTCCTGAACCCCTGCAAGCCTGCCCCTGGGTTTCTAGAAAACCACACTTTCCTTCCTGTGTCTCGATTTCTAATTGCTCTCTCGCACGTCCATTTCACCACCAGTGAACTCTGAGAGTCGGACACACCATCTGTGGCCCACACCCTGGCATATGGAGGGCCCGAGAGCAACATCAGCTAGAAGGAACTCTGTGCCACTGTCGGCAGCTTGAAAACCACCATTTGATTCTTCTAGTTCCCTGTGACGTCCTCCGTAGACCTCAATTCTGAGTCCATTGCTAATAAGTGCTGATGCGTTTCTGATCAGGTCCTCCCCCGTGGGCCTGTTCCTGTCTGTGACTTTCTTGGAGTTTCCCTGCATCTGTGGTATGTCTGCTGAGTGCCAAACACCCTGCATGGAAAGGGCAGAGGACACTTTCGAGGCTCTGGAGATGTCCCCTTCCTTCAGGGAGGACTCAGCTTCACTATGCAGGCAGGTAACCTGGACACCTCATCAATGCCCAAGCCAGCTCACTCTCCTGGTACTGAAGTGTTCAGAACAGGACTCGAACCCCACGGAGGGAGCCCCTTTTCCCAAAGAAAGGTCCAACCGAGCCTGAGTGTTAGCCAGGCAGGCTTGAACTTCATCTGCCCCCAGACCTGTGAGCCTGGCAAGGGCTCTGTTCAGGTGTGCAGAACTATGTGTCCAAGCAAACACATTGTCACTCAACACCAGAAGAGAGCCTCTTCTGGGATCTTTGATGGAGCTGAAGACTAGATAGTTATAATTATAGTTTTCCTTGTTACAATAAAAGGTAAATTAAGTATGAAACTTTAGACTCACAAAAATAGGATACATGATAGAGTATTTTCTTTAAATTTGCCAAATACAAATAGACTAGATATTGTAACTGTAATTCTTGCTTGGTAACTGTTTTGTTATATGTACTTTTACTATGTTAAAGTTAAAACCTTTCTTTTTGATTAGACAGAAAAGGGGAAGTGCTGGGGATCGTCTTTCTGTATGCTGTGAATATGTGTTGCTCCCAGTGGATAATAAATAAAGCTGCACTGGCCTATGGCAGGGCAGGATGGAGCGAGGTGGGAGATCCAGGAGGGATAGAGAAAGGAGAAAGGCAGGGTTGGGGAAGAGGCCACGAGCCACCACCAGGAGAAGCAAGACGTGAGAGAATAGGTAATGCCATAAAGCCACGTGGCAAAACACAGATGAATAGAAATGGGTTGGATTAAGTTGTAAGAGCTAGCTAGTAATGAGCCTAAGCCATAGGCCACACTGTTTGTAATTAATATAAGCCTCTGTGTGTTAACTTGGGACTGGGCGGGACACAGGAAAACTTTCAGCTCTATCAGTGGCTCATCCCACCAGGTAGCCACCCACACCACTTCCTTGACTTGGAACACAGAGCTGGGAGTCTGCAGACCTGGCTCCTGTTTGTACAGCCCAGACTAGTTTATGGTTCTGGGCCTCATCTCTCAAGGTTCCTTTAATGTTTCTTGTGAAAACATGTGGGATTTTCTTGCTCCAGCAGTCCCACAGTGGCTACCACACCTGCCAACTCTTACCTTACGCAATCCCAGCTACAACCTGAAGTTCAGCCAATGCCAACCCAGACACTATACAACTTGGCATTTCCACAATGACATTTTAACATGGACTTAAACTATAGCAGCATGGACTGAGATTTACAAAGGTTCTTATCCCCTGCAAGTGTGCCTGCTTGTGCTGAAGGTCTCTTACAATGTGATAAATAAATCATGCAAAACTAACAAGGACCTGTCTGGCACTCAGGCTACAAATCAAAGTGAAAAGCCTAACCCAGTCACTGTGTGGTACCCAAGCCAAATGTGCAATAAACAGGTGTCGGGGAAGAGAAGGTCAGAGCCAGCATGAGTCAGAGCATGCAGAACAAGGTCTGCTTCAGAGAAGAATGCTGACTGGCTGTCCAGAGGATCTATGGTCAGCTCTGGCATTGCAGAAGAAACCATGTGTTTTCCACAGCAGATGAGAGCATCAAAATATACAAATGTTCTACTTGTTTTTCATGAAGGGTAAAAGAACCAGGGGATGAAGGACAGGTTAAAGCAGAGCCCCGCAGGAAGACCCAAGGTATCCATCATCACTCACAGAGAAGACCCGAGGTGTCACATTATCACTCATAGAGAAGACCCAAAGTGTCTACCATCACTTGCAGAAGACCTGAAATGTCTCATCATCATTCACAGAGAAGACCCGAGGTGTCACATTATTACTTACAGAAGACCCGAGGTGTTACATCATCACTCACAGAGAAGACCCAAAGTGTCTACCATCACTTGCAGAAGACCTGAAATGTCTCATCATCATTCACA